TGGTAGCTATCATCTCTTATCTAATTTTCATTCTATTGCTCCATCTCAAAATTTTACTCTTGCTAATGGCTCATCCAATAAAGTTTCGGGTTTAGGAACCACTCATCTCACATCTTCTTTGTCTTTCTCCTCTGTCTTATATGTTCCTCAATTTCCTTTCAATTTGCTGTCTATTAGTAAAATTACTAAACCTCTTCATTGCTCCGTTACATTTTATCGCACATGTTGTATTTTTCAGGATCTCACGATGAAGAAGAAGATTGGTATGGGACATGAAGTTTGTGGCTTGTATTACCTTGATTTTGACCCATCTCCCACGGCTCTTCAGTCGTCCTAGTCGTCCTTCCAGTGGCACTGTCGTCTTGGCCACCCATCATTATCCGTTTTTCAGCGTTAAGTCCCCGGTCTTAGTCGTGTTGAGTTATTGTCTTGTGAAGCATGTCAACTTAGTAAGCATTGTCGTGTGTCCTTCAAACCTAGAGTTCATAATCGTGTTGCTAGTCCTTTTGAATTGGTTCATTCTGATGTATGGGGACCAATCAAACATATTTCTATTAATGGATTTCGTTATTTTGTGACATTTGTGGACGATAATTCTTGTATGACTTGGTTGTTTTTAATGAAAAATCGTTCTGAGTTATTCTCTATTTTTCAAATATTTCGAAAAGAAATGAAAACTCAATTTAGGTGTTCCATTAAAGTTTTACGTTCTGACAATGCCAAAGAATAGTTCTCAGACCCTTTTTCGACTTATTTTCAATCTTAAAGTATCATTCATCAATCATCTTGCACTTGTACTCCTCAACAAAACGGAGTTGTTGAACGTAAAAATCGTCATCTCTTAGAAGTGTGTCGTGCCCTTTTATTCCATACGCATGTTCCCAAATGATTTTGGAGTGATGCTGTTCTTACGGCCTGTCATCTTATTAATCGGATGCCCTCGTCGGTGTTATAAGGGAAATCTCCTTATTCTGTCTTATTTCCCGATTCAACGTCGTTTAATCTTCCTCCTCGGGTCTTTGGGTGTGTTTGTTATGTCTATAACCTTGGACCCGGTCTTGACAAACTCGACTCTCGTGTCACTAAGTGTGTTTTTCTTGGGTATCCTTGCACTCAGAAGGGTTATCGTTGCTACAGTTCTCATTTTCACCGATATTTCACTAATGCAGATGTCACTTTTTCTGAGTCTACCCCATATATATATATTTTTATTTTAGTCCTCCTCTTGCTATTACTCTTGAGCCTCCTTTGCCACCTCTTCCCTCTCTATTCCCTACTCCCGATCCTCCACGCTCTGTTGACCCATTGCAGGTTTATACTCGGCGCCCCCGACCGCCTACTTCGCTCCCTCCATCTTCTTCGGAGTCATTAGATCCGACACCACCTCCTATACCTGATGATTTGCCTATTGCTCTTTGTAAGACTCCATGGTCATGTGTTATTGCACATCCCATTTCTAACTTTGTCTCTTACAGTAATGTTTCATCCTCTTTCTCATGTTTTTTTATCTAAAGTGTCAGCTACTTTTGTTCCCAAGACTTTGCAAGCTACTCTCTCTAATTCGGATTGGCGCCAAGCCATGGTAGATGAGATGGATGCCCTTCACCGTAATCGGACATGGGATCTTGTTTCCTTACCTCCGGGCTCCAAAACGGTTGGCTGTAAGTAGTTCTACACTGTTAAATGCCATCATGATGGGTCTATTGAACGGTTAAAGGCTCGTCTTGTGGCAAAAGGGTACACTCTGACCTATTGCATTGATTATGATGAAACATTTTCTCCTATTGCTAAGATCTCTTCTATCCGAGTCCTTATCTCCATTGTTGCCAATTGTAACCGGCTGTTGTTTCAATTAGATGTGAAAAATGCCTTCTTACATGGTGACTTAACTGAAGAAGTTTATATGGAGCAACCACCTGGGTTTGTTGCTCAGGGGGAGTATCGCTATACTGTTTGTCGTCTAGGAAGGCCCTATATGGATTGAAACAATCTCCAAGGGCTTGGTTTGGAAAATTCTCTGAAGCTGCATTAGCATTTGGTCTTAACAGATGCTAGACAGATCACTCGGTATTTCACTAGCACACCAATGCTGGCTTCATTCTTGTTGTGGTGTATGTGGACGATATTGTGATTACAGGCAATGATTTTGAAGGCATTGTTAAGTTAAAATTGTTTCTGTGAAATCTGTTTCACACTAAGGACTTGGGTAAACTTAGATATTTCTTGGGTATTGAAGTTGCTAGATCCAAGAAAGGTATAAGTTTGTTTCAAAGAAAATATGAGTTGGACTTATTAGAAGAAACAGGTATGTTGGGTGGTCGTCCTGCTGATTCTCTTATGGATCCAAATACTAAACTCTTGTTTGATGAGGGTGATATATTTGACGAGCCTGGTAGATATTGACGTTTAGTTGGGAAATTAATTTATCTCACTATCACCCGACCTGACATTTCATATGCAGTTAGTGTTGTAAGCTCCTAGAGTGCCACATTGGAATGCTGTCCTACAAATTATTCGATACCTTAAGCAAGCTCCAAGATTTGGGTTGCTATACAAATTGAATGGTCATCTCAGTGTTGAAGGTTTAAAGACGCTGACTGGGCTGGATCTCCCTCAAATAGGAAGTTTACTATAGGTTTTTGCACATTTGTAGGAGGGAATCTTGTTACATGGAGAAGTAAGAAACAAACAGTGGTAGCTCGGTGTAGTGCTGAAGCTGAGTACAGGGCAATGGCTCATACCACTAGTGAGTTGACATGGATACAACATTTTCTGGAGGAACTTGGGTTGACAATCAAATTTCTTGTTCCATTGTTCTATGATAACCAAGCAGCCATTCATTGCATCCAATCCTGTGTTCCATGAGAGGACCAAACATATTGAAGTTGATTGTCACTTCATTCGAGAGAACATACTGATTGGGAATATCATTACTCCATTTGTGAAGTCTAAAGACCAACTAGTTGATATGTTTACTAAAGCTCTAGGTCATCACAGATTGAAGATTATTTGTACCAAGCTAGGATTATATGGTATATATTCTCTAGCTTGAGGGGGAGTGTTAGAATGTAATTATATATATATAGTTGGGGGTATTCTGTAATTCTCTATAATATCTGAGATTAGTGTGTAAATAGGTAACTATTAGCAAATATGATAACCACAAATTATGGAATGACTTACCGTATTAGCATAGATATGATTATGCTATAGAATATGCGATCGAATATTCTGTGATTTGATTTAGATTTGATTTGATTTTCTTTCTTTGATTTAGATTTGATTTTATTTCTTTTCTTGTAATATCAGCATTTGCTCTTTTTTATCTATAAATACTAAAGTTGCGAATGAGTGATTATCTCATTCAAGCCTTTACATAATTCTCTCATTTTTCTTCTTTTTATATTTCTACTTGGTATCAGAACAAGGGTGACATCGCCCATCCGGGAGGTGTCGGCTAGACAGGGTGGTCCGACCTCAATGAGTTGCGCGTTAGGCACCACCTATTCAGAAATGGTCCAAGGAGACATTTTTATTTATTTTATTTTTTTATGGTCTGAGGAGCCGTTGATTCTTTCATACACATGTTTTAAACATGTGTATGAAGGAAAATGGTTTGAGGAGACATGATTGGTTGTTTATGGTTTGAGGAGACATTTTTGATTTGTTGATCGGCACTTCATTTGAGAGAAAATCATCGCTAGTCAGATTTGCACTCTACAACTTGTAGATTTTGAAGAAGGGTGCCAGCAAGACCGTGTTTAAAGATGCATTGTCCAAGTTGGGCGTCTCAGATATCCACACACCAACTTAAGGGGGAGTGTTAGCAAATATAATAACCACGATTTATGGAATGACTTACCGTATTAGCATAGATCTGATTATGCTATAGAATATGCCATAGAATATTTTGTGATTTGATTTAGATTTGATTTGATTTTCTTTCTTTGATTTAGATTTGATTTTATTTCATTTCTTGTAATATGAGCATGTGCTCTTTTTTATCTATAAATACTAGAGTTGTGAATGAGTGATTATCTCATTCAAGCCTTTACATAGTTATTTCATTTTTCTTCTTTTTATATTTCTACTGTAACTCTTACTCTTATATATATGCCCCTTATGTATCAGGGCTAGATGATATTGAAAAAAGAAGAAGAAAAGGGGCTGCGCCTCCATTGTTTTCTCTCTCTCTCTCTTTAGTTTCTACACCACGAAAATATGATTTTGCAGTTCATGCACCATATTTTTTTAAGGAACAAGATGTTCTGGTTTTCAAAATTTTGGGTGTGACACTGGCTGTTGACTTGGACAATTTCTGTTGTAAACAATTTGGAAAGACTACAGCCACCTCTACTTCACTCTAATACTTTACGTGTGGAAGTTGAGTAAGTAGCAGTTATATTCATGGAGAGTTATTAGGCAACAAATCTATATTTTAAAGATGTCTTAGGCAGCTAGTTTCCAAAATTTTTGTCAGTCACCATAATATACCCAGTTAACATTGGCCAGTTAGTTTCTCAAGCAAAAGATGTAGCATTCATGATATATATGTTGCTTGTAATCCATTGTACAGTTACTGGTCTCATAAGTCTTTGTGCAATCCTTTTTCTTGGAAAGTATGAATTAAGTTCTCCAAGTTTTATGCAATTGCCCTATTTATATCAAAATTTTGTGTATCAAGTCAGTACCTCTTTTTAAGAATGGATGCTGCACATCTGAACTTTATTTTGTTTGCATTACCTGCAATCTTCATTCTACGTTGTGAAAGTCACTTGTGCTATTTTCGAAGTTTTGGATGTTTCAAAATTTCAAGTAATCTATCCCTCTTTTGAAATGTAACTTGTTATGTTATTGCAGTGGCTGATGTATCAAAATACATCGTTGATTCTAAATATATTGCATAAATTGGATGTCTTAATCATACCTAAATATGTGCTATGTTCAGTAAATAATACTAATGCACTCAGAAGGCTGACTCTATCAATTTTGGCATACAGTGTTATTCAGAAGGCTGGTACTGCATTACAAGTTTTAAGAGAAGTCCTTGATGCTGTTGATGCTCAACATCCTGAGGTATGTTGGTGGAGTAATATTCTGTGGTGTCACGTTGACCTTACAACGATTGCTGCTGGTGTCGCATTTGTTGCCGAAAAGAGGCCCAAGTAGGAAACACCAATTCTCAAATAGGAAAACACTGTAGCAGTGAACAGTGTCCCAAAACACCATATGAGGCCCTTTTTTACTAGCCATTTTGTTACTAAATTTTGCAACACTTTTTTTTACCTAACATGTTTTCATGTTTTTGCTTCCAAAAATCTTGCAACAAATTTTGTGTTACCAAACATGCTTCAAATCACAAATGAACACACTCCACAACAAAAACGTTGTTTCTGTTTCGGATAAGAACAAAAACACAAAACGGAAACGGTTGCCAAATGAGCCCAAACTGTAGTTGACAGTTGTGATATAATAATCCATCTGTTAATCCAGAAAATTTGACATTTCCCTCTGAATGTATTCTTCCAAAAGAAACCCCAAAAAGAGCCTAGATTGAAATCTTTATAGGAATTAGAGGGGCCATATCTTCTTTTTTCTTTTATTTTTTCTTGGGGTGTGGGGGTTGCCTTAGTAACCCTTTCATATTAATATTTTCCAATAAAATTGGCTTTAATCATATTGGGATTCTGAATTGAAGTAATTTTGTAGTCCTGTGTTGCCTTTTCCAATTTCCTGCAATAATCAACTCGACTTTGATGTGTTACCGTTAAAATAAATGAAATATATTTATATTTAATAAATATCAGTTTACAAGTATTTCTAGTGTCATTTCTAATTATGTATTTTTTATAAAAATAAAATTGTTCCCAGAAATTCGTGAAGTGAAGGGTTGTCATGCTAATTTTATGATCTTGTTGATGAACTTAAAGGTGATATTAAGAATAGAAAAATTATAAATTACGTGAAACTATATTCTCTCTAGAATGTCAAGTAAATCTACTTTCTGGAGAATTGTGTCATAATGGGAGCTAAGGTTAACAAGTTATCAATGTGAAAATGTTGGCCACTAGAACTCTTGGAAATCTTATGCAGATATCGCGAGAATTCCATTGCCAAGGAATGGAGTGGTGGAAATGGTGGTAACGAGAAGAGGTGCCGGGATTTTTCTGGAGAAGGGAGGGATCAAGTGGAGGAGGGATGTGACTCTCAGCTGGCTGGTGGGTAGGTTTGATCACGAGTTCGAAACCTAACTCAAATCGAGCTTTGGGCAAGCAAGGCTTGGAACGTCGGTTTCTCTCTTATCAAGTACCTTACTGCCCTTCCGTCTATCTCAGGTGGAAGTAGCGAGGGTTTTGGCCACGGGACAGTGATGTGGGGGTGATTTTGAACTGCAGTTGTATGTTTGGTCCCAATGGGCTGGTTGTACATGGATTTTGAAAAAGGAGGAGGGGGATATTGATTTACGGGCTCCCTTTTCATTTATGGTGTTTGGAGCTATTCAAAGTTATCCGTGACAAATGTGGAGTTTTCAAAGGAGTGATGGGGGACGAGAGACTTGACGCTAGTCCTGTTCGCATGAGGGTTAAAGAGGACTGACAGAAAGGAGGTTATTGGTAAACTTTGGGACATGAAGAACAGAGGATAAGGTAAGATTAGGACAGGTAGAAACAGTGCCCTTCCTTGCAATGGAGGTGAAGGTGCCATCAGAACCTTATCCCTACCAAAACATTAAGTGTATGAAGAAAAATCATATGTCATACCGGTCATGTGACTAGTGACTCCTGAATCAATGATCTAGGGTGGCCCACCAGATAATGTGGAAACCTGATGTGCTGAATGAGAGGTACTTGAGCGAAATTAGAGGTGGAAACGGAGGAATGTTGTGCTAGTAGATGTCGGAGAGCATCAAGTTCAGCCCCGAACAAAGAACTCGGTGGCCCTGAGGAGGCATGACCAATAGAAGCAGTCTCACGCTTTGCAGTATGTGCCATAAATAACCCCCTAAATGGACCAAGCCTTAGCCTAGCATTCGCATTAGCAGGAGTTGGAGTAAGGCGACTGTGTAGATTCTAGCATGTTTCCCTAGTGTGGCGCGTACGTCCACGTCGATTACACCTCAACTTGCTTTTGTCATTCTGTTTCCCTCCTTTTGGAGAATTGGGCTTGTTCCATTGTTGTGTGGGAAGAGCCAACCTCTCAGACAATGGTACTTCTGGCTCAGGCTTGGTGTATACAGGTGCAGACATAACCTTTATTCTACTCTCCTCAGCCTTGATATACGAAAACACATCTCTAACAGAAGTAGGGGTTGGATATCTGCCTAACACTTGTACCCTGGCATGCTCGTATCTCGAATGCAGACAACCGAAGAACTCATAGATTTGATTTCTTTCTACCATAGCATGAAATGCTTTAACATCAGCTGCACACACAGGTATGTAGTCTTAGTAGTGATCTGACTTCTCATTTACCACGTAGAGTGTGGTAATATGTAGCAAGAGTTTGGTCTTCCTGCTTGAATCTTGAAATCTGTTGTTGAAGTTCATACAGTTTTGCAAAATTACCAACTGAGGAATATGCCTCTTCCACAGTTGTCCATAGCTCTTTAGCTGTTTTCAAAAACAGCCCTTTGCTGATCTGTGGCTGCATTGACTGCAACAACCACGTTATAACTAGTGTAGGAATTCAGGATTGCTCTTGGAGGGATACGTGACAGTCCCTTCGATATGGTCAATCATCCTACGACCAGTGAGATGCATACGAGCAGATTAAGCCCACTCCATATAGTTCGTCTCATCCAGCCTAATAGTCGTAATACAAAGGCCTGGATGGTGATCACTACTACCTGAGTCAGACTAGGAGAAGACCCATCTTCTTTTGAAGTCACCTCTAAGCCAGACATTTTATCAAACAATTTCTGGGTATACAATCCTTAGAAACAAAAATAGCAACAAAATGCGTAGAGAACCACCTCTCTAACACACAAACTTCAACTAAAAAGATTACCATCTTCTGAGATGCATAAAAAGCGAGCACATAGTCACCACACAAACCTTAGAAAGCAACAAAGTAGACCATACCAGAATCGCGGACAGCGAAGAAAAAGCCGCTGTTGCAGAACCCCGCGAACACCAAAAAACACCGATCGAGACTGCAATAGATAAAAAAAAACTTTCACTAGGGTTTACAAACCATGCTTTGATACCATGTTGACTTTAAGATATAATCAAATCAAGAGTAGGTGATAAAGAAGAAGAAGAAAAAGAGAAGAAAGTGGATGAGAGAAAAAGAGAGAAAGATGGGTAAAGAGAGAGAGAATGAAAGAATACTTTCATCCTTCCACCACATTCTATTTATAATAACAAGTTTTAGAAATTACACATAAGCCCCAATATTATATAAGTAATAACAAATAAGGCCCCGACAACAATAGAAAGTTGGTGCCTTTCAACAAAGCTTTTCTGGGGAAGTGGCTGTGGAGAAATGGTACACAGAGGCATCGTTTCCGGAGGAGGCTATCTCCTCTAGATTTGGGGTTGAGAAAGGTGAGTGGTGCCCTTTTGTGATGCTGATCCTAGGAGGGGTTGGCATTTGGAAATTTATCAGGAAGGGGTGGGGGAATTTTCCAAACATATTAGTTTCAGGGTCAGGGAGGTAAGGTCATCGGCTTTTGGGAGGACATCTGGTGTTGTGATTGTTCCTTGGCATGCTCATTTCCCTGCCTCTTCTGGATAGTGTTGGACAAACATGCCTTGGTTACCGACTATTATTGTTTCAATACCGGGAGATTGACTTATGTGCGTTTTGAGAGGTAGTTTCCGGACTAGGAGCTGGAGGATGTCTTGGAGTTTCTGGATTTATTGTAGGACGGGGGTGGCTCTAATCCTTGGGTCTAGTTTCATTTTTCTCAGGGGAGGTTCGATGTTTGATCCTTCTGTGAGAGCCTTGTGGATGCTTCGGGGGCTACCTTCTGTTAAAATGTTATATATATATAAGTGTTGGGCCATTATGTAATTACAGAAAGTTGATAGGGGCCCTTGTGTAGTTAAGTAAGACTTGTACTCTTTATATAAGCCTTGTACACTTTATTAGGTTTTTAGTATAATGAATATATACAAGTTTGAAACTTCTCTCTCTCTCTCTCATATATATATATATATATATATATATAAGTGTTGGGCCATTATGTAATTACAGAAAGTTAATAGGGGCCCTTATGTAGTTAAGTAAGACTTGTACTCTTTATATAAGCCTTGTACACTTTATTAGGTTTTTAGTATAATGAATATATACGAGTCTGAAACTTCTCTCTCTCTCTCTCTCTCTCTCTCTCTCTCTCTCTCTCATATATATAACTGTGAACATGGTATCAGAGCGTACGATCATGGGTGTGAGAATCTGTAATTGGGTTCTTCTTGTCTAAGATTCGAATTGCAGTTGCGGTGTTGGTGATCTCTACCGTTGGTTCCTTGTTTGTCGACATCAGCAGCGGCTTGTTCATCGTCGTCAGATCTGCGGCGTCGTCAGATCTAGGAGTTGTTCGTCGTCGTCTCTGCCGTGTTCGTCGTCGCCGGCAGCTTCTCTTTGGTTGCCAGCGAGCTCACCGACCTCTGCAATCTTGATTCGTAGAGGTGAGGTTCATCTCTGTTGGCCGGAAGTTGCAGCGATCGTTTCTTATTGGTTCGGTCGTTATTTGTGATTGGGTCGCCGTCGTTGCCGCCGCGTTATTCCCCGGCGTCCGTGAAGGTGTGAAGAAGAAGACCTCTGTTTGGCTACATGGTTATAGCTACTTCAACCCTGGTTTGCTAAACTTGGATAGCCCAGGTCAGTCCAACCCGTTTGACCAGGTCCGTTGACCAAATCCAACCCGGTTCCAGATCTGACCCGTTTTTCCAGGTTCGGCCAAAATACAGAATCTGTTTTTTTTCTCCCGCGTTTTTCTTCTCTGTTTTGCTGGATTCAACATGGCATCTAGTTCAGATTTACTTTCACCCACGAACAGTCTTCATTCTCCCATGACTTCAGTTAAACTGAATGGGAAGAATTACATATTGTGGGCTAAATCTGTTGCCATTTTCCTCAAGGCAGAGGTCTTGGTTCTCATTTGACTAAAGAGAAACCCAAGGCAGCTGATGCCTCCTTTGATGCATGGGAAAAGGAAGATGCTCAGATCATCTCTATGATGATAAACAGTATTTAGTTCAACTCTACTTTATTTGGAAACTGTCAAGGAGATATGGGACAGATTGCAGCAATTGTATTCTGGGATAGGTAATATCACTTGTGTTTATGAGCTCTGTAAGCAGTACTTCAATCTTGAACAAGGTACTCAAAGTATAGAAGAGTATTATTCTAAAGTTATGGGAGTCTGTGAAGAGCTGAATATGTATCAGCCTATTGCAGGTGATGTTCGCAGTATGCAACAACAACGTGTGGACTTTAATGTTGTCCGTTTTCTTACTGGTTTATCATCAGCATATGAGCCTTTTCGTGCACAGATTATGAGCAGTCCAACACTTCCATCTCTTGCTGAGGTGTTTTCTAGACTTCAGCGTGCTACACTTGCAAGTGATACCTCAAATTTGAATACTGGACAGAGTGGTGAGCGTTCAGCATTAGTGGTCTCAAAGGGTGAACATAATACTTACCGTGGAGGTCGTGGGGGACGCTCCACCCATGGTGGTCGTGATTCACGTGGAGGACGTGGCCGTGGCAGGGAATTTAGAAAGTGTACCCATTGTGGTCTTTCTAATCATACTGTGAACTTTTGTTGGGATCTTCATGGGAAACCATCTAATTATACCAATCAAGTTTCCTCTTCTCCAAATGATGTTGCTTCTGGATCACATAACGTAGTGAATCAGATACAGTTCCTGTTCCACAGGATGAGTATACCCAGTTTTTGTCTTATAAGCAAGCATATAATTCATCTTCCACGGCTACTTTTGCCCAGTCAGGTACTGCACACACATGTCTATTGTCTTCCACTCGCAGTCCTTGGATCATAGACACTAGAGCATCTGATCATATGACCGGATGTTCTTCTCTTCTATCTTATTTTCATTCTGTACATCCTTCTCAAAGTGTTACTCTTGCTAATGGTTCATCCACTTAGGTTTCAGGTTTGGGGACAACTCCACTTAGTGATTCATTGTCTCTCTTGTCTGTTTTACATGTTCCGCAGTTTCCTTTTAATTTAATGTCTATCAGTAAGCTTACTAAATCTCTCCAGTGCTCTGTTACATTTGATCCTACTTCTTGTGTGTTTCAGGATCTCAAGACGAAGAAGACGATTGGTACGGGGCATAAAGCTGGTGGCTTATATTATTTTGATTTCTAATCTTCTCCTGTGGCTCTTCAGTCTTCTCTGTTTCCATTCCAGTGGCACTGTCGCCTTGGTCACCCGTCACTTCAAGTTTTGAAGCGTCAAGTTCCTAGTCTTAGTCATTTGAAATTCTTGTCATGTGAAGTTTGTCAACTTAGTAAGCACCATCGTGTGTCTTTCAAGTCTAGGGTTAATAATCGTGTCTCTAGTCCTTTTCATTTGGTTCATTCAGATGTATGGGGTCCAATAAAACATTCTTCAATCAATAAATTTCATTATTTTGTGACATTTGTGGATGATTATTCTCGCCTGACTTGGTTGTTTTTAATGAAAGATCATTCTAAGTTATTTTTAATTTTTCAAAAATTTCGCAAAGAAATCAAAACTCAGTTTGGATGTCCAATTCTTATTCTACGTTCTGATAATGCTAAGGAATATTCTTCAACTCCATTTGATACATATCTTAGTGATAAAGGAATTATTCATCAAAACAATCTCCACGGGCTTGGTTTGGAAAATTCTCTGAGGTGGCGTTAAAATTTGGTCTTAAGAGATGTCAGACCGACCATTCGGTGTTTCACCAGCGCACTAAAGCTGGCTTCATATTTCTTGTGGTGTATGTAGATGATATTGTGATCACAGGTGATGATTCTGAAGGCATTGCTAAGTTGAAGTTGTTTCTGCAATATCAATTCCACACTAAAGACTTGGGTAAACTTAGGTATTTCTTGGGCATTGAAGTTGCTAGATCCAAGAAGGGCATAAGTTTATCCCAACGCAAATATGTGTTGGATTTATTAGAAGAAACAGGTATGTTGGGTGGTCGTCCGGTTGATACTCCTATGGATTCAAATACAAAACTGGTATCTGATGAGGGTGATCTATTTAATGACCCGGGCAGGTTTCGTCGCGTTGTTGGGAAATTAATTTATCTCACTATCACTCGGCTTGATATTTCATATGCAGTCAGTGTTGAAAGTCAGTTCATGGGAGTTCCTAGAATGCCACAATGGATTGCTGTTCTTTGGATTATACGATATCTCAAGAAAGCTCCAGGTTTAGGGTTACTATATAAAGCTCCAGGTTTAGATTTACTATATAAATCAAATGGTCATCTCTGGGTGGAAGGTTTTACAGATGCTGACTAGGCTGGTTCTCTTTCAGATAAGAGATCTACTACAGGCTATTGCACATTTGTAGGAGGAAATCTTGTTACATGGCGAAGTAAAAAGCAGACGGTGGTAGCTCGATCTAGTGCTGAAGCTGAATATAGGGCAATAGCCCATACCACTAGTGAGTTGACATGGATACAACATTTTCTAAAAGAACTTGGGTTGATAGTTGAGGCTCCTACTCCATTATTCTGTGATAATCAAGTAGCAGTTCACATGGCATCAAATCCTGTGTTTCAAGAGAGGACCAAGCATATTGAAGTTGATTGTCACTTCATTTGAGAAAAAATTAAGTGGGAGCATCTCTACTCCATTTGTGAAGTCTGAAGATCTATTAGTTGATATGTTTACCAAAGCATTGGGTCATAACTGGTTAAGAACTATCTGTTCCAAGTTGGGATTATTTGATATATATTCTCCAGCTTGAGGGGGAGTGTTAGAATGTTATCTATATATATATATATATATATATATATAAGTGTTGGGCCATTATGTAATTACAGAAAGTTGATAGGGGCCCTTGTGTAGTTAAGTAAGACTTGTACTCTTTATATAAGCCTTGTACACTTTATTAGGTTTTTAGTATGATGAATATATACAAGTCTGAAACTTCTCTCTCTCTCTCATATATATAACTGTGAACACCTTCCAATGAAAGGCTGTATGGCGCATGAAGGCCCCTCTTATGGTGGGTTTCTTTTATTGGATGGCAGTTTTGGGGAGGATTCTGATGCGCTGGACAACCTGAGGAGGAGGATATAGGTTATTGTGAATTGGTGTTTCATGTGCAAAAGAAATGAGGAGTAGGTAGATCATCTTCTATTGCACTGCCCAGTGGCCAGGGACAGTTGGGTCATGCTTTTGAGATGTTTGGTGTACAGTGGGTTATGTCTCGGTCTTTGAGAGATATGATTGAGGCTTGGAGAGGTTGTACAATGCAGTCCCAAGCCCGTGACTTTTGTAGGGTGGCGCCTTTGTGTGTGGTGGTGGTGTTTATGGAGGGAGTGGAATAAATACTTCAACGGCAAGGAGACTTCTATTGGGGTGCTTAATTTCTTTGCTTAGTTCACCTTTTTTTGGGTATTTGGGAGAAATTGTAAATCCATGAGGGAGTAAAATTTTGATATTGAGAGTTTAGGGGGTATGTCGTCGTGTAGCTTTTTGTGGGATGTAGTCCCCTTTTAAACACTTTCTAATGATGCCTTATCGGAAAAAAAGTTTTGAATTTTTGTGACAGCAAACAAAAATAATCATTATTCAGGTGATTGGTGGACCCTGGTTAGTACTAGTGAGGCTTACTCAACTTAACGATTGCCGATTCAGTTTTTTCCCCGCCCTCTGGATTTGTTGGGTCATGGTTCAGGTTGTGCATTTTTAGGCTGGGTATCCAGGGCATGATGGGATATTTCTGTTTGATATAGTGGCATTTTTGGCTTGAATTAATTTTAAATAGGCTTCTCAGCAGCACCTTCTAATTTGATGCGAGTCATAGGTTTTATAATTTTGTATCATAGACTGCAGTTTGCTTAATGTACAAGTCTCCTCTTCTCTCAATAACAAATCTATCTGTAGACAGATTTTTTTCACTAGTTATATATTTCATTCATACAAAGAGATTTTAGTCTTTGAGGTTGTTGCCTGTATGTAACTAAGTTCATATACATCCTGTCTCCATTTTTGGAATAATTATTGCATTCAAGATTCAGCATGCTGCTTTGTCATTCAATTTTTAGTCTGCAAAATATTATAATATTTTAAATGTAATATTACTCTCTTAGGGAGCAAAGGATGAGTTCACACTTGATCTTGTGGAACAATGTTCATTTCAAAAGCAACAATTAATGCAGCTGGTGATGACTTCTCGGTAAGGCTTCCTTATGTATAAATTTGCGCCACTAGCTGAATATTATTAACTTCAATTGTCCTTTTGTCTTGATTCTTCTACATCATCATCATCATCATCCTGCCTTGAGTTAATTGAATAAGTCAGTTGTTAAATTTCTCTTCTTTCCACTTTTTTATCACAAACTATTTCTCTTGTTATATGTAATTTCTTAGGGTTTCATTGTACATCGTCGCAATTAGATTTGACTTGCCTCTTTGTCAAATTCTCTACTTTAACACTTCTTTCTTTTCTTCGTTGTTGCTTCTACTGGTTAACGTTTTATATGCCTGCACATCTTGTTTATCATCACTTATGTGCCACTTCTTATTTCTCCTTAACTTATTAGTCACATCTCTTCTAGACACTCTTATCATCTATCGTAAAATTCTCATCTCAGCAATGTGGTATGTTCTTATTTCTTTATTATTATCAATTTTCTGCCATATTAGATACTTGGCCTAATGGTCATTACTTCTCCACGTGTCATGTTATGTGCATTTAAATCCTAAAAGAACACAAAAATTCCTTTAGTAAGTTCAGGTCTTTCTGAAAGCCAGTTCCTGAGTGTGGCGAGAGCAGGACAAGAACTCATAAATAATCAATGAATTATGGGCCAGTCTACTGCTTGCTTACCTGTTTATAATTGCATGTGTGGAAATTGCCTTTTCTTTTCTCTTGGCCGCTCTATTGCCTCCCCTTATAATTGAACAATTGAGTTGGGCTTCCTAAAGTGAAATAGAAATAAAAAGATATGAAGAAAAGGGCATAGAAGGTTTTGATCCTTTTGTTCTCAGTTGTGAGTGATGAAATAGACAGAAAAAGACTCCAACATAGAAAGCATTGGCTAGGTTCCTCGAAAGGGAGACATTTAAGGAGTATGATTATGAAATACCAAATAATTTGACATTTAAGAGTATGTCCATATGTGTGTATATAATAAGCAAAATTAGCTATATTAGTAAAGGAGAATTGAAATTGGGATATAGTTTTGCATTAAGTGATTGCTATTTTTTCGTTTTTCTGTATTAGGGACGCGTTCCCCTTTTGAACATTTTTCTAATATATCTTTACTTATCAAAAAAAAAAAAGTGATTGCTATTTCAAATTGATGTAATCTCTGAGGTGGAAATAATTACTGTGGAGAGATTTCGCCACATAGGGTGCTGAGTTTGATATTTTAGTTAGGAAGGGAAATGGTGTATGGTAGCATAAGACAAATAACAATTGATGTTGTGATAGAAAGAGAAAAAGATGATGATGATGAACAGATAGGGGTTCCTTGATAAAACAAAAAGAGAGAGAACATAATGATTTTTGGAAATTTTCAAGTGAATAGAGAGGTGTTAGCTGTTTTCTTGAATGTTGAGTCCTGGTCTGATTTTATTGTCCTCGGGATTGGTGAGGTAGCAATTATAGCCATGAAATTGGGGCTTGTTCCATATCAACTGATGATAGCGGTTTAGCTAAGATTTTGAAACGATTGTAAAGAAGATAAAACAGAGCCACAACAGATTTTTTCGGATGTGGAAGTGATACGTCCCCTTTGGCTCTCATTACAATTTATAATTTAAGATTTGCCAAACGAAGTGGCTACAATCAAGGAGTAGTAATTACAGCAGCTATCTAAAAGGTAAGTCAACTAATCTAATCCCATAATTACGGCAACTTTATTTAGGGTAAGTCAATGCTAGCTAATATAATCCCTAATTGTAAGGCTTTTGTGAATGAATCTGCAAGCTAGTTCTCAGACGAAACATGACAAAGTTGTATAGAACCTGTGAGAGCATGTTGTCGAATAAAATGACAGTCAACTTCTATATGCTTGGTACTTTCATGAAACATGGGATTATGAGCTATCTGTATAGCACTAGTGTTGTCAACATAGAGGAGAATAGGACCAAGAATTGGAATTCCAAGTTCTAGAAGAAGTCTACGAAGCCGTATCACCTCGCTGCTAGCAGATGACATAGACCTGTATTCAGCCTCGGCAGATGATTTTGAAACTGTTGGCTGTTTTTTGCACTTGAAAGAGATGAGTGATGACCCTAAAAACATACACCAACCTGTAGTAGATCGTCGTGTATCTTGGCAGCCAGCCCAATCAGCATCAGCAAAATAGCGAAGTTCCAAGGAAGAGGTTGAAGAGTAGAGGAGCCCTCGATCCATAGTTCCCCGAATATAACGAAGAATACGATGAACTACAGCTAGATGGGGCTTATGAGGATTACTGACAAATTGACTGACAATTTGAACTGCATGAGATATATGTGGATGAGTCATGGTGAGATAGATCAAGCTTCCTACAAGACGACAGTACATAGCAAGATCAGGAAGTGGAGGTCCATCATCTTTCTGTAGCTTAGCATTCAATTCCAATGGTGTGTATCATAGAGTTTTGAATCTGGTAGATGAGCCAATGATACAGAGTTTGTCGAATGCTAACACCAGCTTTGGAATGAGAAATTTCCAATCTAAGGAAGTATGTGAGAGGTCCCAAATCCTTCATTTTAAAGGATCACATTAACTAGGTCTTTGGAGAAGTAATTCCTGATTCATCATTTCCTTTAGTGATCATATCATCAACATATAACAGTAACCATGTAGAACCTCGAGTTGTGCGCTTAACAAACAAGGATTAGGACTTTGGTGAAAGCCAGCTTGGATGATGGCACTGCGAAAATTTTCAAACCATGCACGAAGAGCTTGCTTAAGACCGCAAAGGGATTTGTGCAAGTGGCAGACATGGTTGGGAGGACAGACATATCCTGGTGGTGGTTTCATAAAACTGTTTCCCGAAGATTCCCATTCAAAAATGCATTTTTAACATCCATTTGCCAAAGAGGCCATCCACGAATGGCACTAACAGCTAGTAGAGTTCAAACAGTGGGCATCTTGGCAACTGGAGCAAATGTTTCTTCATAATCAATACCATATTCTTGCTTATACCCCTGAGCAACAAGGCAAGCCTTGTATCGTTCCAAACTACCATCGGATTTCAACTTAAGAGAGTAAATCCATTTACTTCCAATTACTTGAACTCCAGAAGGTCAAGGAACTAAATCCCAAGTGTGATTTGATTCAAGAGCAATTAACTCCTCTGTCATAGCATCTTGCCAACATGGTAGTTCTTTGGCCTGTCAATAAGAAGAAGGAACAGAAATAGAATCTACAGTGGGAAGGAGAACAGAAAATCCAAAGCAGTCTGGAGGTTTAGAAACATGAGAAGAACGACGGGGAGGTGCGGAGAGTTCAGGAGTGATGTTACCTGCAGGTGGGGGTGGCACAGATGAGTGATCGGGAGTAGGAGCAGATGTAGGAGGAGGCCGCAACCTTCGACTATAGACCTGCAATTTCTTATTAGAATTTAAAGGAGTATAGTTAGAAAAACTAGGAAGATAAGAAACATTTGATATAAGAAACTCCTTTCGAAGAGAATAAAAAGGAATATGCTTAAGGAAGACAACATTGCGGGATATACGTGTTCGTCGAGCCTCTGAATCATAGCATAAAAAACCCTTATGTTCATCACTGTAGCCAATGAACACGCACTTAGCTACTTGTTGGGACAATTTGTTTCTTTCCAAGGAAGGAAGACGAACAAAACAAAGGCATCCAAATGTATGCAAGTGTGTGTATGAAGGATGGGAATGAAATAAAGATTCATATGAGGAAATATTCTCAAGCACAGGATTGGGCAGCCTATTAATCAAATACACAGCTGTGTGCACTGCCTCACACCAAAAACTGGAAGGGACTGTTGATTCAAAAAGTAATGCCCTGGTTGTCTCCAAAATATGCCGATGTTTGCGTTCGGCAATCCCATTTTGCTAAGGAGTGTGTGTGCAACTTTCTTGGGGAAGGATCCCTTTATCAGAGAAGAGGGAATAAAACTCTTTTGGAAGGCCTTGATTTTTCTGTTGAATTGAGTCTCCACAAGATTACTAAATGTTTTGAATTTTAGACACAACCTCATATTTATGATGAAGAAAATAAATCCAAGTAAACTGTGAGTGATCATCAATAAATGTGACATAGTATTTATAACCAAGCCTACTGAATTTGGGTGCTATTCCCAAACATTTGTGTGAATAATATCAAAAAGATCAGTATGTCAGGAGGAATGAACCGGAAATGTGAAACGTGGCTTTTACTTAAACAACAGGACATACATTTCGAATGTAACAAGGAGGAAAACTTCTTGGTATTCAAAGGACAATTCAAATAACCATGCTTAAATAAAAAATAAAGTTTTATCATTATTCAAATGACCAAGGTGACGATGCCAAACAGTCTACAAATCATTTTGAGAGCTAAAAGAAGATGCAAGCAATACTCTAAGTCTCACATCCAACAAAAATGTTCTCCCACGTCTATTCCTCGTCCCAATCACTTTCCCTGTTTGCCGGTCCTGTATCACACAACCAGAAGATGTAAACTAAATTGTATAACCATTATCAACCAATTGTCCCACATATAACAAATTAGCAGATAAATTAGGAACAAAGTAAACACTAGAAAGGTTAAGAAGTTGGTTTTGGGGAGTAGAGAGGGTGATAGAACCAAAACCAGAAATAGGCATATTTTGGCCATTTGCAATTTGAATATTTTTAGTTCTAGTATAAGGTTTAGATTTATCAAGGCTATGCTCTACAGAAGTCATATGGTTAGACGCTCTTGAGTCAATAACCCAAGAGGAGGGAGAAGATAATGTAGAAGAGGAGGTTGAGTTGTATTGACCATTAATACCCATGGAGGTGAAAGAAGAAGTTTTGGGTTTTGGCTTACTCAAACCGAGAGCCAAGATCTATATTTATATACAAGAATAGGGTACAAAGAAAGGAAACCAAATCAAAGAAAGACAGAAAATATGCCAAAATCTACGTGATTCCATGATTATGGGGATCTTATCTATGGGATCCAATGATTACGTGGATCTTATCTACGTGATCCCATGATTATAGAGATCTTACATAAAACAC